CTACTAGGACTCTAAGCAGACAATTCCCCATTCTAGTCATTATATAATTCCTCCACTCAAGCCCACAACACAAACCACTTTCTTTAAGTCAACAACACACAGCACACTATCAACTCTAAATCAGGTAAGAAACCCAACAGACCAGAAACACTCTCACACCAACACCAGGCCAATCATTGAGTGCGTACAAAGATAGTTTGGTTCGCCATCTCAGATGGAGAAACCTCTAGATGGGTGTCAATAGTGTTATCAGAATGGCACAAAATCTACCCTAATTGGGCTTTAACCTGGGACTCTTGACCCATGCTAATGCTCTTACTGATAATATTACCAATTCAGCTACCATAACTAAGCAGGTGACTCTCCATCCTGGCCATTACAGCATGAATTTATAAAATAAATTAGGTTAATTAATGAACTGGTCAAAAACTAAGACAATGAAGTAGTCAAAAACTTGTAATGGACTAAAACAAAACACTAGGAACATAAATTTTATCACTTATAAAAAGAAAATACTTGCATGACCAGGACTTGATACAAGCTTTAATAAACAATACAATATAAATATCAATATCATTGATTTCAATAACTAAAGTAGTTAGGACAAAAGAACCAGAAGAGCAAAAAAATCTAATTCTAAAAAACACAATATTCCAAAATTAAACCACTTCCACATCAATATTGAGTAACAATTAGAAATAATTCGTTTTATATCTATATTTCATGAACTAAATCCTGATTAAGAAGTTAGCACATAGGATTACATACAAAAGTTGTAATAGTTTTCTAATGAGACCCAAAACTCGAGAGCTTTCGATCAAATAAAAAAAAGACCAAGTGACCTATTGGTCCATCTCGGTTGTCCCATCTTCTAAACTAAACTAAAACTATTAAATAGGTCTACCTAACAGGGAAAGTTTAGCAACAGAATAAGTAATACTTCTGTGGAACATCTTTATTTTATTTTTTATTCTCATGAACTAAGTTAGATCACAAGGTTACATCTCATGTGTCTAGCTAATTTACATAATCTTTCACAAGATTACTATCTGTACAACATCACCATGAAAAAGTTTGTGTCAGTTTCATAATAGAAACATACTCAAATTCAACATGTTGTAGCTAGATGGTGTGTTTGTTCTTTAACTATAAATTCATACTTGAACTAAATGATAGAAGAAATAACAGATGAATGGTAAACAAAACCACAACAAAATAAAAGTAGAATTTGTTATCGCACAAGCTATTCAGGTAACCAAACTGGTCAACAGCTAATCAGGTAACCAAACTGGTCAAAAGCTAATCAGGTAACCAAACTGGTGAAAAGCTATTCAGGTAACCAAATTGGTCAACAGCTAATCAGGTAACCAAACTGGTCAAAAGCTATTCAGGTAACCAAACTGGTCAACAGCTAATCAGGTAACCAAACTGGTCAACAGCTAATCGGTTAACCAAACTGGTCAAAAGCTATTCAGGTAACCAAACCCTGGTGAAAAGCTAATCAGGTAACCAAACTGGTGAAAAGCTAATCAGACAATGAACTGGTCAACAGCTATTCAGATAAACAATTGGTCAAAAGCTAATCAGACAATGAACTGGTCAACAGCTATTCAGATAAACAGTTGGTCAAAAGCTATTCAGGTAACCAAACTGGTCAAAAGCTATTCAGGTAACCAAACTGGTCAAAAGCTATTCAGGTAACCAAACTGGTCAAAAGCTAATCAGACAATGAACTGGTCAACAGCTATTCAGATAAACAGTTGGTCAAAAGCTAATCAGAAAATAGTTAGAAGGTATCTGGATCTGATCACATTTCACTATCTTATTGACAGAACAAAACTAGAGTTATGCAGACATTGACAGAACAAAATATAGTTAAACATACACTAATAAAAACAGAGCTAAACAAACACTGATAGAACAAAATTATGGCTAAATAAACATAAACGGAACAAAACTAGAGCTAAATGAACATTGATAAAATAAAACTAAACTCGTACAGACACATATGCCATATTTTATTCAAACTTTATGTTAAGAATTAAATATCAATGTTACCATTTTTAACAACCCACTTATTGCCTTCAAGAATCATTTCTTGTTCTTCTGATTCTCTAAAATAGAAAAAAAAAAATTATATATATTAACATTACTATATAGTTTTACAGAAAAGTAGAATTAAATAATTTCATTCCTTACAAAGTATAATATTTGTAGTAATTATATATATTAACATTATTATATAGTTTTACAGAAAAGTAGAATTAAATAATTTCATTCCTTACAAAGTATAATATTTGTAGTAATTATATATATATATATATCTATATATTAACATTATTATATAGTTTTACAGAAAAGTAGAATTAAATAATTTCATTCCTTACAAAGTAAAATATTTGTAGTAATTATATATATATATATATATTAACATTATTATATAGTTTTACAGAAAAGTAGAATCAAATAATTTCATTCCTTACAAAGTATAATATTTGTAGTAATTATATATATATATTTAACATTATTATATAGTTTTACAGAAAAGTAGAATTAAATATTTTCATTCCTTACAAAGTATAATATTTGTAGTAATTATATATATATATTGTTATTATTTTACCCAATACAGCAAGTATTTGCGTTGTTGAGATATTTTGCCGAAGCATTTATAAATCCAAATATTTTAAAAATAAAATAAACCTTTGAATAATAAACTTACATCACATTCTCAATTTTTTTTCTTTCCTCGTTTTCTAGGTGTTCATTGGAAGAATAAGGAATAATATCGGCTTCTGTGTATCTGTTAGTTGAAACTAAGGAACAACTTCTACAAATAGCCACTTACAATTAGGGAGATCTTCACCACAACTGGTAATAAACCTATTTGAATAGTTCTCGTCAATACCTGTGTTTATTTCATTAAAGGATTTGTAACAGGGATAAATTTCTTGAATAATCAATCTTTCCATGCATTACTTCTACTTTATATGTTTATTTCATTAAAGTATTTTAAACATAATTTTTGTTCATTTTGTTGTAAAGCTCAAATCTGCTCAAAGGGGTATTTATGTAGTGCTTACCACGGGGATCTAGCCCTTAAACTTTGCGTTATAAACCCTTGGGCTTGCCAATGATCAAATGTAATGTATAATATCTTAGATAATTACATCCTCCCTCGTATTGATCCACGTTTCAACTCTACCGAATATCAATGACCTATGTTTTAATTTTACTGTATTTATATTATTATCATTAAGCAATCATATCAAAATTGAAACCATGTTATTATCACGTCCACATTGAACAAAACGAAAGTAGTTTAAAATACACAGCATAAAGAATATGACCACATCACAAAAATATAAAAATAAGTGAACGAAAATTATCATGATAAAAAAATGGAAAATAAATAAATTTTATTACAATTAAAATGTCTTTCAAGAAGCCAGTAAACGTAAAGATGGTTAGAAAATCAAAGCTACGAAATTTATGTTGTTTCCCTCTGGTGGCACGATCTGTAACGCTCAATCCGGGCTTCTATTCGGAGATAGTCACAACGCAAATAGCCTATTATGTAGTTTTGTGCTTAATAACGAAAGATAGAAATTTTGTTACTATCAATTAATACACAAAACACAAAAAGAATGATCAAGTCCTTTGTATGTTTACAGAAACAACGTTCAAATGTTCTTTGTTAAACAGTTATTTTTAGGCTACTAAAAAGCAGTGCTTCACCTATAACACTCAAATTTATTATATAACAAAAACTTTAAGGACTGACATGACTTGGTGGTTAACACGCTAGACTCGTAACATGTAGGGCGCGAGATAGAAACCCGTCACCGAACATGCCCGTTCTTTCAGCCGTGGGAATGTTATAATGTCATGCACAACCTCACTATTCGTTGAGAAAGAAAAGCCCATGAACTGTTGACTAGTCTATCACTTCAAAATAAAAGAGGCTTTGCTCAGATAGCCCTCATTAGCTTTCACGAAATTCAACAACCAGACACTTCAAGTAAAAGGATACTGTGGTTGACCATAGGTGGCGGTATCATCGCTATCAACGTTTAAGTCTTGATCGTCATCATCTTCACCATTATGTTTTCTCGAATGAAAACCTGAAATTAACCGAAAAATAGCTTACACTTATTATTATCAAAGGCTCAAATTGCGTAAATACAAAAATACTCTACAGGAAACAGCTTAACAATACTTTTGTATTCAAATTTCAGGAACTTATTGTAGTTAAAATTTTAATCAATTATTTGCATTTAAACAGTCTTTCTCAAATTATGGTTGCTGTATAAACTTAACTTAAACTTCTGTTTTGTGTTTTAAAACTACATTTTCAATTCTGTTTATTTCTATCACATTTTTTCGAATATACACCAAAGTGCTAAGTTTATTTTAACACAATAAACGAACATATAGAATGATAATGCTGTCAGGTGATTTCTGAACAAGAAATATATTTTGTGTTATTAACATTTTCCATATTATCATTAAATTCTGATCAAAGCAAGCTACCTACATGAATAATAACTAAATATTAACCCAGTAATTAATATGGCTAATTTAATAAACGTTCTAACTTTTAGGGGTAGCACACATTTATTCATTAGTGGGTACCCTCGCTGTTAACGATATTTTTCTGTCATAAAATTAATCATACTGAAATACTTGATTCAAAGTTATCGTTTGCTTTATGTAGCAATGAATAAGTCACTACTGTAGAAAAAAAAAACTGTTAGTGTTTTCAACCTGCAAATCCTGTCTCTAGACCAGAGGATCGTATTCTGATATGTCTCGCCCATTCATATTGTTCAAAATGTTCACCACCTTCCACGTCCACTGTTTCGTCTTCAGAACCATTGGCTTCTCTCTACAAATACAAAGTTGTTTTACGACTGAAATAACCATTTACTTCAATTTGAAATAATAAGCTAGAATTAGCTGGTAAACATCAGTGATAATTAACAAGTTAGGCTTATTCGGTAAATGTTAGCGAATTACTCAGTTAGGCTTAATTGGTAAAAATCAGCAACGTGAAATCAGTTAGACTTAGTTGGTAAACAATTGCGAAAATAATCAGTTAGACTTTGTAAACATCAGCGAAACTATTTAAGTTAGGCTTAGTCGGCTAAAATTAGCGAATTAATCAGTTAAGCTTAGTTGTTAAACATCAGCGATAATTAATAAGTTAGGCTTATCAGGTAAAATGTTAGTAATTGAATCAGTTAAGCTTAGTTGGTAAACATCAGCGAAAATAATCAGTTAGGCTTTGTAAACAACAGCAAAACTAATTAAGTTAGTCGGTTAAAATTAGCGAATTAATCAATAAGGCTTTGTAAACATCAGCGAAACTATTTAAGTTAGGCTTAGTCGGCTAAAATTAGCGAATTAATCAGTTAAGCTAAGTTGGTAAATATCAGCGATAATTAATAAGTTAGGCTTATCAGGTAAAATGCTAGTGATTGAATCAGTTAGGCTTAGTTGGTAAACGTCAGCGAAAATAATCAGTTAGGCTTTGTAAACAACAGCAAAACTAATTAAGTTAGTCGGTTAAAATTAGCGAATTAATCAATAAGGCTTAGTTGGTAAACATCAGCGAACTTCAAAAAATTAGGCATAGTTAAAATTAGAAGTAATATGTTAGATATTGTTAATTAAAGTTATTTGCCCTCCAGTTAGAAACCGGGTTTCGATACCCATGGGGGGGGGGGGCAGAGCACAGATACCCCTTTGTGTAGCTTTTAACAAACAACAACATAAAATTATTTAAAATGATAATTATTATTCCAAATAAAAAAAAGATATCTAAGGCATGTATTTGTTTCAAACGTTTCACCATTTCGAGTATAATGTTTTGATATATATTTTTTTATTAATTATAGCTGTTATTAATTATTTTTCTACACGTAAAGTGGTATTTTGAAAATTACGCACTTCTGGTACATTGGTTTGGTTAAGTAGTAATAATGACAACAATTTTACTCGGTAATCAAATTGATGGTTAAGTGCCAACATCAAATACAAGAAGTGACGTTTAACACCCCAACATACCAGAAATGAGAATAAAGTCGATTAACTAAAAGATTTTAACTTTAATCTAAATCTGACCTTAATGCTATATAATATAAACAACGCTTAGATAACACAGCTATAAAAACAGTTAAACAAATTTTAACTCTAAACTAAACCTAACCTTAATGTTATATAATACAATATTCGGATAACATTTGTTTGATTCGTTTAAACATACACTCAAGAAATAACTTTTTACGTAATAACTTCTTATTTCATCATACTTCAATCTAGTCGATTTTCCAAAAAATAAAAATCTATTTATTTATTTTCAATGAAATTGATTTTTTTTAAATCAACAATTAAAGCCATTCCATGTATTTAAAAATACTTTAGGGTAGAAAACGTCGTACCTTTCTCACACACCGCTCGACGTGCGAGTTGAAATCCTCCAGCGGCCCCGCTAATCTGACACAGCATGCCGGACACTCGGGTTCTTCCCTTATCCTCTTTTTCCCTTTACTTGGGCGTACTGAAATGTAACTTGTGACCTCAACAAATAATCTTGTATTTTTATATGATTCATTATTGTTGATGATAAACAAAGCCTTAATAAGACTAAGTTACAGCGATTAAAGAAAACGTTAAAAATAAACTAACAGAATTTCGTTAAGAAGGTATCTTGCTAATTGAAAATGGAAACATGCTACGCTAATATAATAATAACTTGACTAACAACGATTTGTAAGCATAATAAAGTAATTTATTTTTGGAGGAACGTCATAAACCACTTCGTTAGGCCTATAAATTGTTGTTTTCTAATTTATTAACAGATAACTTGCTCTAATCAGAAGTTAGTTTTAACTGAGAATTCAAACAAATCAGTAGCAAACTACAGTTCTTTGAACTTTTATCTAAACTGGACTATATAGTCTAGGGCAGGTTGTGTCTGTCCATTCAGAACCGGACTATACAACTACTGTCATATTTTTTAAATTATATCAAACAACGAACTATTTCTGTCCTTCGACGTTATTTTATATAAAATTACACTTTTTACCGCAGCCTGAGGTTTAATTTTAAAGTTTGCCGACTCCGAGCGGCTGATTAAATTTCATGTAGACCCATTTCTTTCCACTCTATAAATTTTACAGCTTCTCTTTCAAACCGACACAGCTGTTGCAATGGAAAGTCACTGTTGAAACCACGTCGGTATGAAATTCCCGCATATTTGGTCTGACGAGAGTTCTACTCTTCCCGCTTCCCGAAACCACGAAAAGGGGGAGGAAGTGGCGGTCTTCCCACACACACACACACAACGACCAATACATCTTACCAAAATAATGAATGTCGCCACTTACCTCCAAGTCTGTTTTGCCGATTGCACTGAACCTTCTGGAAAGTCTGTGTTCATGTAAAAAAAAAGAAGAATCGTATAATTACGTAACCAATGGATGGTGAACCATTAACTTTTACTTTCACGACAACTACTATGTTGTTGTTGTTGTTTCATTAAGCTTACAGATCATTGACGTCAACACTAAATTTAAACAAAAAATATGTTAATTAAACTTAAGAGTTAGAAGAAATAGCAAGCATAATAATTAGTTTTATAGCAACAGATTGTGCCGACGTTTGGAAACTTAATTACCAGTTATTAAACTTTTCTCAGGCCATCTTCATTTTTATTAACGCTTTAACAGATATTTTCAATATAACAAAGCATGCTACACCATCGTTTTTAACAGATGTTTTCAATATAACATAGCATGCTACACCATCGTTTATAACAGATGTTTTCAATATAACATAGCATGTTACACCATCGTTTATAACAGATGTTTTCAGTATAACAAATCATGCTACACCATCGTCTATAACAGATAATTTCAATATAACAAAGCATGCTACACCATCGTTTTTAACAGATGTTTTCAATATAACATAGCATGCTACACCATCGTTTATAACAGATGTTTTCAATATAACATAGCATGTTACACCATCGTTTATAACAGATGTTTTCAGTATAACAAATC